GGAGGAGAGCCTTCTCTGTGGCTGCTCCGACCCTGTGGAATCAGCTACCCCCAGCGGTCCGGACCTCACCCACTCTCATGGCCTTCAGGAAAGCCGTTAAAACCTGGCTGTTCCGGCAGGCCTGGGGCTGTTGACCTTAGTGTTAAGGTCCAGCCCCGATTAGAACGAATGTGTGTTGTGAATTTTAAATTATTTTTTATTTTTCCCTTTTTCTTTCGCTTTGTAAGCCGCCCAGAGTCCTGCGGGATTGGGCGGCCTATAAATTTAATAAATGAAATGAGATGCCAAGGCAGGGATTGCTTTATGTTTATTAGCCATGGGGGGGTGGGGGATGGGGGGGTGTGCTATTACTCTCTTGTGATAACCATTTCATAGAGCCGCAAACTGAATTTGAACTTTTACAGCTGCAGCTGCGCCATCAAACATGTCGGTGGTCGCGCACATCTTGGACCCAGAAATTGTGTTTGTGGCCAACTTGACCAAGGCCGATGCGCCGGCCTTGGCAGCTTCCTTCCAGGGCAGCTTCATGCTGTCGGGCGGCTCCGAGGCGAAGCACATGACCGCTCGGGTCCTGGACCTCAGGGTTCTGGCCTGCCCTTTCCTCCGGGGGGCGGCGAAGCAGAACGTCACCACGGTGAGCCCCGTGGCGGGATCCTCCCCTCTGCAGGGAGCTTCTTTCCCGCCCATAGGAAGCGGGCATTGACCCCAACATTCTGCTGGTCTTCTTCTAGGTGGTGCAGCCATGCTCTTTAATTGTGGAAGCCACGATGGATACTTCCGGAGTGCAAAGCGTGGATGTGAACATGGAGACCTTGGTTGTGAAAGTTAGTAACAAATTACTCGCCCTGATGCTTGGGGGGGTTTGTAGAAAAATCTGCAGCTGAGGTGAGATCTACCGTGTGTAGAGTAGGAAATCCACCCTTCCAGGGAGGATCCCTGCAATACACACACAGTCCGGAGCTTCTCCCTTCTTGGTCCCCCATAGTAAAAATATTGGTTTGATTTTATAAGGAAAAATCTCACTCTGAATTCATATATAAATAGCAGCTCCTCAAGGCAAGCTGATATGTTCCACGGCCTTGATTTAATCCAGACTTTGACACTGAAGGCAGGATCCCGTGGCCAGGGAATTGCGGAGGTTGAAGTCTACACCTCTGAAAGTTGTCGAGTTTGAAAAACACTGGTCCACAACTGCTGCCTGTCTTATAAGTGAATCGCTCATCTCTAGTATCCTTTTTCAAGGTGTCGCCAATCATTCTCAACACTGTAATGACTATCCTGGCTGCTATGAAGCGGCAGGCCAAGGAGGAGGAATCTGGAGGGACCCCTTGTAATCCTGTGGACCTCTGGAGCGTCAAATCCGTAGACGAGTGCCAGAGTTGGTTCCTGGGCGTCGACATGGCCACGGAAGCCACGGAAGCCTTGGTAGCCAGCGAGCAGAGGGAAAAAAAGGAACATTTTGTGGTGGTGGTGAAGTCGGTTCAAGTCACCCTGGAGTGCGGCTTGGGACATCGTACCGTCCCTTTACTCTTAGCGGAATCTGCATTTTCTGGAACGGTGAAAAATTGGTCTTCTCTCATGTCAGCCCAGGCTGATGTGACGCTGGAGGTACGTAAATAGGGCCGGTCCCTCTGTATATAAGAGCCGAGGTGGCGCAGTGGTTANTTGGAGAATGTGATTTATGACACAGACTTGAGGGGAGGGAAGAAAGAGGGGCAATGTTCAGCCATGATTAAGATGAGGTCAGATCTGACTGCAATGGGGTATTGCCGAAGTGGCGTTCCTAACAAATGACTGGATTTCTTTTGAAACTTGGCTTGAGGCTCGTGAATTAATTAGGGCATCTTTCGGAAACGTGGCAGACACACACTGTTGATATGGCCTCCAGCCTTCTCGGCGCCATTCCAATTCCTGCCCCCTTCTCCCCTTCCCACTTCTGATATTTTGGGGGCTTTCTCTGTTGACCACCTGGGCATTACGCAATGTCAAAGTCTTAAGACTTTTTTCTTGAGAGAGAGAGAGAGATTTCTTCCATGTTAATTGAATTTGGTTGTTTTAATAGAAAAAAGTGTTCATCCGTGTTCTTTCTCCGTTTGGCCAAATAGCCCAAACTGGGAGACGTGTGGAACCTCTGAGCTGTGGGACTTAATCCCTTTATCTCGGCCGTTTTCATATCTCGTAGAAACCTCAGCTTCACAACAGCCATTTACGCCTTGGAGAACTGGGGCTGCATTTCATGAGGTCATCGGGACAAATGTTTTCGGACGGCTCTCTAGATGTCAGCACCAAGATGGAAACGTGCACCTTGGACGATCTCAGAGAAGGGGTGGAGAAAGCAACTGCAAGGTCAGCTGTCCAGCAGTCCTTAGAACACCCCCTGTCTCTTCGCCAGGGGGGGGGACACGTCGGCACTCTGCTTAACACACCTGGTCAGCCCTGAAACAAAACCTTGTACAGAGGAGATTTGGGATTTGTTTCAAGGCCTGTTGAATCCGAGGCCTCGCAGAGGGCGGCCTTCTCACTGGAAATCCTAGGAATCGGGGTAATCGGAGGATACAAAACCGGATTAATCTACTCCAAGTTCCTCCCTCCTAAATTCAGCCACCTCGTCTAGGAATGCGTTTCTCTCTTGCAGAATGCTGGCCAGGAGGGATGGTAAAGCCGAGAGCGTCATGATTGATATCCGCTACAAGCAGGATAAAAACGGGGCCGACATCGTAGCTGTCTTGGATCAGCTGTATTTGTGTGCCAGCATGGAGTTCTTGCTGACGGTGGCCGACTTCTTCATTCAGTCCATGCCTGCAGCCGGAGCGGCGGAAAAACCGGCCCAGTTGGCTTTGAAGGCGTCTTCCCAGGGAAAGCCTAGGCCTGAGAAAGGTCGGCCGCTTTGAATATCTCTAATCCTTAACTCACTGCGCAGTTTTCCGCTCTTAAGGCCACTGGCTTTATTTATGGTTTGGGCCTGGATGTGCTGCTCCATGGTCAGAGCAGAGNTCTCTCTTTCTGTCTCTGTCTCTCTGTCTCTGTCTCTCTGTCTCTCCCCCCACCCCCCTGAGAGAGAAAAAGAGAAAGAGACAGACAGAGACAGAAAAAGAAAGCGAGAAAGAGAAAGAGAGATTTGAATCTTTTTCAATATCTGCTGCCTGGATATAGGAGATCAATAAATACAAATAAACCCTGCTCGCTATTGTTCATACATGTTGCAGCCAAGTTCTTTTTTAACAGATTGTACTAATTGACCGTCATTAAAATTTTCTTTCAATTGAAGGTTACAGATACAAGAGCTTTGTAGCATATAGAAGAAGATCTGCAGAAATGTTAGAATAGATTAACATATCAGAGCTTCAGCAGCAACTATGATTTTTTTTTAAATTTCCTCAACTTAAAAAAAAACCCCAACCCTTTGTATTTCAGCTCCTAGTTATCCTAAGCTTCTGAAACTTTTAACTCTGAACATACATAATCCTAAATCATGAATATTACTCGCACGGTCCCTCTAATATGTGAGAGCCAGCACATTCAAAGGCTCTTCTGAGATTTTTGCAGAGGGAAAATAACAAATACTACTAATAGTGAAAAAGGACACTTTGCATCCTGCAATGGTACGTTTAATATTATTAAACTAGATCTGTCTATCCCAGCTACTTGGGAAGGACTCAGTAGAGGAGCAAAAAGGCCAATTCCGGTTTAAACATCTGGCTGACTGTGTGACCAACAAAAAATATATAACACAAATTCTAAATCCCACGAAGATGATAATTTTTGCACAAAGTAAGGCTGGTCGGAAAAAAAGTTGCCCCTATAAGTGATGGCTAAACTTTACACTGCCGCATGCCAAATGTGCATGCCTGCACCCCTAATGCCATGCACGTGTGACACCCCCCATGTGCCCTGCCTCCCCGTGCATGTGCACGCAACCCCCAGTGCTCCCCCACCCCCGCGCATGCATGCACATCTCCCGCATGTGCCCCGCCCCCATGCATGTGTGGCAGAGACTCAAAAACCAGCTGGCTGGCAGGAGGCATGCGCTAATGCACAGTGTAACTGAACAAAGGCAAGGGGTTGCATGCCCACAGCACTGGCTCTGTGTGCCATCTGTGCCATCAGGCCCTATAAGACTAGCCTCTAGATACGGCATGAACTTTTGTTGTTTTTTTTATTATCGTAAGCAACTGTTACTTCAGATGTTAAAGTATGTTTCTAGCCCCTCTTTCCCCCCAGGATTTTATTGCAGAAGGAGAAAGAAGGATTAGCTGTCTATCTCTTCCTCCCAACCATCCAATTCAATTTCCCTCCCCAAATATTTATGTTTTGCTGGAGAACAACGATGCCCTTTTTCTTATTAATATTTTATCAGGTTTACGTATTATCTGCTCTTAATCCTTTGAATATTCAAATAGATCTCTAAGGGGACAACAGATTACCCTGAATCAACGTTAAGCTTCCCGATGAAAAAGGGTTTCACATTGGTGAGGCAAAACTAATAGACATAAGGTTAGAGTAACTTTTCATTTATATCGCGAAATATATCAAGAAAACTGTGCCGCCGCAATGGGAAGGCTGCCTCTCTGTCATAATTTGATTTACCTGTTTTATACTGATCTTTATATTCCCCGTTTATCTTGTATATCTGAGCACAAATTGTAATAACTTTATTATAGCCCATAAATGGGGAAAATATTCTAGCCGAGCCTGGAAACTGTAGTTTTACAACCAAAATGGAAGGTATTTTCATGCAAAATTATATAACTCTTCTATGAATTGATGTCTAAAAGGCCTAACTCTCTGCATACAAATGCAAAAACGGCAAGTAAATTATGAACACGAACATATATTCCCTCTAATAGATAATGCATTATTAGCATTTCATAATCTCACTATTTCAATTTTTTCCTCTTTCTATAATGAAATGGACGATGTCCAAGAATGCAACAGTGGGGTAATTTAGGAAATTAATGCTCAAGCCTTAGCAAAAGAAAATGTTGCATTATTTAAATCTGGGAAGTAATTGTGTGCAGGTCAGGTTGAAAATAGCACAATTTCTCCAGCAGTTTATCCAGATGCTAAAGATTCTGGCAGCCTTTATTTATTAAGGACGTAAGCAACAACTTTTAAAAACAAGAAAGGAACACAAAACTGGTGAACCAAACATTGTCTAAACAGAAGCTGGGTTTTATCAGTTGTCATCACTGTTATCTCCTCCTCATTGCTTGGAACTGAACCCCTAAATTGGCAAGCAATAGGAAGTGTTGGAATTGATTTTGAAGACAAGAACTGGATTAATACATTGCCTGGAACTGTAAACATACATAAAGAAGTTTTATGCATGTTTAATACTTTGCCTTAAACCAGTTAACCATGGTTTAATGGCTATAGCATAACTGAGCGAGTTCACACATGGCCTGATTTTTTTATTTGTTTTTTCTTAGAATTTTCTTTTTTCTTCTTTACAACATAAACAACATGTATGTTGTTTTATTTCGTTTCCTAGTATGGTTTTTGTTGATTCTATTGCTAAGTCTTGTATGTTGTGATTTATGATGAATGCATTTTTATGATGACTATGATCATGATTTATCTCTTATACCTTTTATGTACAAAAAGCACCGAAGACAAATTCCTTGTGTGTCCAATCATACTTGGCCAATAAAGAATTCTATTCTATTCTATTCTATTCTATTCTACTCTACTCTACTCTACTCTACTCTATGAGAGTCAACAGCCCCCAAGTCTGGAGATGACTGACGAGGAATACAATACAATAGCAGAGTTGGAAAGGACCTTGGAGGTCTTCTAGAGCCGAGATGGCACAGTGGTTAAATGCAGCACTGCAGGCCACTTCAGCTGACTGTTATCTGCAGTTCAGCGGTTCTAATCTCACTGGCTCAGGGTTGACTCAGCCTTCCATCCTTCTGAGGTGGG